TACCATTCCCAATTCTGAACATGGAGAATCACTGCACTAAAAAGCATCTTACCATTCCCAATTCTGAACATGGAGAATCACTGCACTAAAAAGGAGTGATGCAGTGTGAGGTGTCCCTGCCCATGTCAGGGGGGCGTGGAACTAGATGATCTTAAGGTCCTTTCCAACCCTAACTATTCTATGATTCTATGATTTAGCAGGAACAGAGTCACTGTAAAGTCTTAGGTGGTAACAATTCTCCTGTAATTTACTTCATCTTAAAAGAAAAAGGAGCAAAATGGCATGTATGAATAACAAATGAGATGTACCAAAACCTTGTTTCATGGCAAATGAGAACAAGTAGCATGGAGTCAGCTGTCATGGTTTAAAAGATACCCATGATGTAGCTGTGCCATTAAAATTTGGATTAAAATTATGTTTAAATTTCATTTCCTCCAGTCCTTACCCTGCTTTTGATTAGTTTTAAGAGCAGTTGATGGTCTTGTGATTTGAAGATTTTGCATTTTAAATTTTGTGTACATGCTCTGGAATTTTATGTGAAATTGTGGGTTTGATCTTTGACCTCTGTTTACTACAGTCCTGATTTACCACTAATTTGATAGCAAGCCATAAGGGCCTACTGTAAACAAGCTGCTCACTTTACATAGCTGTGTTTGGCTCCTAAATGAAGAAGTATGTACGGAATATACTATGGGTACTGTAGCCTCCTAAAGAAATAATAAAAAACACATCACTGCTTAGCTCTCCAGGTAACGTTTACATTTGGAGAAAATAAGTTGCATGCCTAATAGAGAGAGAAAATGCAGTTCTTATCCATCTTAAGTTTGTTTGTTTAAAATTGTTCTTTAAAGTATTTGAGAGCTCAGGCCGCCTCTTTTGAAGTCAGTGGGAACTTTGCCATTGATTTTAAAAGGATCAGGATTAAGCCTAAATTGGTAGGGTCTAAAAGACAAAAATGAAAATGTCCAAAGTCTACAAATCTCTCACTGATCCACCATCCAGAAAGGAAAGACAAAAGCCTTCTCCAAGGTCTGTAATGTACATCTTGATTCCAGGACTCCTGGTTTATGTACTTTTGTAGACTTCAAGATGGAAAGCAACTTCCAGTCAGGACAGTAATTGATAGCATATGGAGTAGTACATACTTGCACCATGGACTTGTAAAGCTGATGGGGGAAGGGAGATGAAAGCTGCTTGTAAAAATCAACAGACTGTACACATCTTCCACAAGTCGTCCTGCACTAACACTACACAGTATACCCTGCCTGCAACCTACCCCAGGCAGACTCCCCAGCTCACAGGTTCAGGCCTTCAGGTACAGCCTTACACACAGGAACTGACCCAGCAAGTCTGCTTGTAAACATTTAACCAAGAAACATGTCCGATCATCCTGCCTAAGCTTAGCACTTTTTGCACTACTCTGGCACTAGCAGCCACATCCTTGGAACAGTAGGTAAAAGCAAGGTCTTCAACTTTCTCCTGCATCAGCCAACTGGGACCATCCACCCCAGCAGTGAACTTCCTCACAGTGCAGAGTAGATGGTGGTGGGTAAACCTAGGTACCCTGGAGGAAGGGCTGTTTTCCTGTTTGGCACAGGAGGAAACTGCAACCTCTTTCATTTACTGGCTTAGTAAGAACTAAGTAAATTGGTAACTGTGACCAGAGCCTGCCTCAGTTAAGAGTGTGGTTGATTTGCAGTGATAAAATGTAAGCTCAGAGAAGTGAGGGGACATGGGCAAGCAAACGCGAAAGGCCCTCTTGTCTCCTCTACATTGAAGATTTGAAATGAAGTGACCCTGATGACAGGTCAAGCTGTCTATGGATGACTTCAGCGGGCTAAAGCAACTAAAGGTAGGAAAGTACATAATGACTTTGTTAGTTTATGTGGTTCCAATATTAGATAAGCCAGAGTTCAGGGAAACACCTGATCAAGCACCACTCTAGACTGTCTGAAATTGAGGCTGACAAAGCACCCATTGCAGTCTCCAAAGCCTTGTGACCTGACAGAGTAACATTATCTTCTGTTAACAGAGACCCACATTTGGCCAAAGAATATCAGATAAAAATAAAGCATCAAAGTAAGGGAACCCATGCAATTAAACCCCACAAGTTTCTTGTGTCTCTATTGATTAGAGGTAACCCAAGCTGTTAAGGAGCCTGATGAGAACTACTACAGAAGGCGGATGACTGGCAGTAGAATGGGAGGAATCAAAGCTTGCCACCTTGCAGATTACTCAGTTAAATAAACCTTGATATTTTCTAGAAAACTAGCACAAGCTGCATCTACTCCAGCTGCACATGTGCTACCTCCTGCTGTGTACTATTCAGAGGGAACAAGATGCTACTCACAGGGAGAATCAGTCCTGTCCTGATTCTGATGTGTGTGAGCCGCCACAGTCAGACACAAACATGTACTTCTATTGCGTTTGCCCAGGTGTGAAGACAGACAGAGCTAACAATAGCAAATCAGGTCACCTTTCTGAAGAGACTTTCCCTGAGGTATTTTTTGACCTACCCCAGATTGTCTGTGCAGAAACTGCAGCACAGCTGATTGCCAGTGAAAACTGGAAATGTCCTCAGTCAAAACATGCTGCAGATCTCATCTTCTGCTGCCACTTCATGGGACGTTTCCTCAGAATAACTTAAGCATCAGTCCCAAGGGCTTTAATACCTTTATGCCAATCACCTCAGCATCATTTTCAGTCTGAAAACAGCAATGCACAAGTATAGGGACACTTGCACATACTGAGATGTTTTTTCTAATGGAGGGTAGTAACTGAGCAGAAATAGTTTCTAAAATGCTCTTTAATTTCTTAATAGGTCTGGCTTACAATGTAAAGAAAGGTTAAATTAATCTGAATAACTCCAGGCTCTTATACATGCAAGACAATCAGAGATTTTTAATAAATGGAAGCCATGAGGGCCCCATACATGTTTAGACAGAGTGGGCATGTCTGGACCCAGTACAGAACAGCAATCCATCACTTCTAGATCAAATTCAAAAGCAATTCAACCAGGGCTCCATGTAGACAACACTACAGAAAACCTGTTCCAATAGCTTTCTTATGCAAGAGAAAACCACAGTCACATTTGTATTTTAGGCAGTGAACCAAGAAGAATGAAACAAAACAACAGCAACTGTCCTCAAGAGATATTTCAGGCTGCTTCTCTCCTCCCACTCCCCTTATACTCCTTTTCAATCTCTTAACAGTGTGCATTTTTGGCTACAGAGAACCATACTGCAGAGGTCACTGGCAGGCTGGTGGGGACCGCTGTCACTTTTGGCTACCAAAGACAACTTCCCCAGCATAAGGAAGCATCGACCTATTTTCTCCCCATGTTGGCCTGGGGCAGAGGTGACTGTGCAGGAGGGAAGCAGAGGAATGAAGGAAGTTTCCTCAGCCCAGCAACCTTTCACAACCAGTTGCTGCTTTTCCTCTTCACCCCAGGGCCTGCTATCCAACAAGTGTAAATTGAGGATGACAAATAAGAACATTAGCCTGGTGTTTCTGCTACAATGATCTGCCTTGAAGTAGCTCATGTTGACACTTAAATTGTCAGCAGACTTCCAGTTTAGGGCTCCAGTCAGAAGAATGGGTCCATTCACACTTCCCTCTGAGCTATTGTTGCAGCTCTCTCTAGACCAGGCAAGTATCACTGCAGCAGTTTACACTCCAGTTCCACTGTAAAGGGTTTTTTTTTTTGCAACCATAACCCAAATTGCATAGAAACCTTTTTTTTTTATTTATTTTTTATTTTTAATATAAGCTTAGACTCCAGGGAATAATTAGACAATGCTGAAATAGTAGTCTGCAGCGATTTACATAGCTGTGAAATATTGGAGCTGTTTTTATCCAGTGTACCTATGTATACATGGCTTCAGCTAGCTCCAGTATTTACACAGGACTCATTGGATCTGTGTTCACAGAAACTGGTATTTCAAGTTAGGCCACACACAGGAACAAAACATTGCTTGTTATTTCAGGGTGTTATACCATCATCCAACTGAAGCGCTACCTTGTCACTTCTGCCTTTCCTATATCACCTTCTGGCTGAATTAAAATAACATCTTTGTGGCTAGTGCAAACATTGGTTAGGTAGTCAAGAAGAAGAGTATTAACTGAACTTCAGTTTCTTTCCTGCAACTGCTTGTTCCTTCCATTTTTGAACAGGTTAATTGCACCAAGGGGCTGTATCCTCATTTCTCTCTCTGCAGTCAACTTTGCTGCTGCTCATTTCCATTATCACACCTATTTGCCTGCTGGAAACTCAGTCCCCAGCCTGCTCTTCTGCATGCTGACTTTTTCTCACTCAGGGCGCCTTGCCAATGGCAGGACCACCAGTCCCACTGGAATTAAACAATCGATGCCAATTCTTGAGAGTAGGAGAAAATTCTGTAGCAGGTGATAGAGTAACTGCCTACTGACCCTTGTCTGCTACAGTAATTGTCAGGAACCTGGATATTTTCAAACCAAATACACCCAAGGTACAGTATGAGCTCTCTAGATTGCAAACAGTTATCTTTTCCAGAGCCTGAAGATGCAGGGGTTTAATTCTTCCTTTCTATACTTTTCTATAAGCCTATTTCTCTCTCCCATGTAATTCTGCTAAGCTCCTACGTTGCTAGATCCTACTCTTCCTTTTAATGTGCTTTTTCATTTGTTGTTTTCCCCAGGAGAGCTTAAGTGATAAAATAAAAACCAACAGCATGAAAGGATAAAGCCACAGACTGGGAACAAACCCATTGCCTGGAATCTCTGCAAAGAAACCATTCAGGAAATACAGCCAAAGAACAAATGACAGAAGTAAGAATTTAGGCAAGTGACTATATGCATATAGGAACAATAACTTCCGATGCTTTCAACCCAGCAATGAGGAATTAATAACTGACCATTAGATTTAGGCACTGATTTGAAGGAGTTAAATTCCCAGGCTTCCTTTCCAGAGCAGGGTGGGGCACTGGGGACATCAGAGAGTGAAAATAAAAGGTACCTGAATAGCCTGGCAGGGAGCCGCAAAACCTGTCAGGCTTCTTCTCATTTCCTATGCTACAAATACTCCTTAGCTGAGGGTCTCCTGGTCCCCACTGGTAGCTACAGACTTTGATTGCAGGTGCCTATGTGTGGAGCGACGCACTGAACAGCCTTCCATGCACCAGGAAGTGAGTGCTGCATACTGGTCGTGCTTGGTGCTCCTCACAGCAACTCTGGTGTGGCAGCCCATGGAATGGCCAGTGGCTGGGGCCTGAGGACAGGGACATGATCATCCTCCCTGCTTTGGAGTGGGCATCCTGGAATGTGTCCTTTGGAGGGCCAGACACTGGAAGTGAGTCCCTCTCTGGACCCTGGTACCATACACACAAGGTAAGTGTCAGCCATGTGGCCTCATGCTGGGGGCCAGATACAAATGGACACAGGGAGAGCAGGGTCATCATTTGAGTCTCTCCCCACTATTCTCTGAAGAGCCCCTTTTCAGTGCCTGTTTGTTGTGGGCACCTGCTCCCCCTTCACCCTGTTGTTCAGCCTGTGCAGCCCTGGTTTCCTGCAGCCCTGGTTTCCTGCTCCAAGCAGTCCTTTGTGAGCAGGAACTGGGCAGAGAGCTGCGTTGTTCTGTGTAGAGCACTGCTGGTTTTTGTCATCAGTGTTTCTGTTGCTGTCAGTGATGACAATGTATTTGGGCAACTGCAAAAGACAGACTGAAGCTGCCTGAGATCTAGCAACTTGAAGCATCTGTTAACAATAAAAATGAATTGGAGGTTGATTAAGCCCTTTACCTTTTCCCTGTTTTTTGTTTCACAGACTAGGAGGCATGGGAGGTTACTCAACATTCTTGTTTTTCACTGCATCAGAAGCAAACCACTTTTTTATGATGCAAAGTATTGGTATAAATTGTGCATAAAATGACTTGCAACTAACTGCTCTCCTTAATCTGTGAGCAGCCCAGTAGCAGGTAGTAGCTCAGGGAAGGTCCCAAAAACTTTCCCCTCTGAATTCTTCGTTTGCTACTGCGTAAATATCCTGATGGCAGGAGACATCCGTGTTTTCAGAGGGAGGGAAACCTGTGAATTCCTGTGCTTAGGTCCCTAGAGCAGCAGGACTCTTTGCTGGTAGCGGAACTTCCCAGGACCAGAGCTGAGATCCCTTATGAGAGACAAGTGTAGAGCCAAGGGGTTTGGGAGTTAGGGCCCCAGAGCTGCAAGTGCTTGCAGAGTTGCCAGGGAAAGGCAGTAACAGGGAACTCCCTCGGCATGGCAACACCCACCTGCCCCCCAGCCCTGTCCCGGTACTCCTTGTAGGGGGGGGGGTGTGCGCGCGAGGACTGCTGTGTTTTAAGTCTGGTGGTTCTCTGGGAACACATGAATCATTTCTCAGAGTTGCTTGGCTGTCTGTGGCTGAGACTGATTTTTCTGTGCTTCCATTTACTTGAGCTGAAGCTTTGGAGCAGGTAATGATCAACTCTGGCTCATGTGTTTTCACATCCTTTTGTCCACCCCCATTTTCACATGTTAAATGTTTGGAAATATCAGAAGCAGTCTATTCTCCCTCCATTCCTGGCTGTGATCAATCCAGTTTCAGGTCTTCACACAAGGACTCTTTCCCTTTTCTTGAGGCCATTTCATTCTCTTGGTTTGGTTTAAAGAGGAGCTCTTTGTTTTCTATCTCTTACCAGAGACAACTGCCCCAGCTCCCACCTGCCTGGAAACTCCTCTGGAAGGCTGTGATGAATTGCTTTTGCAGGAGTGTTTTTCAGCCCTTCAGCCCCATGAGCCATCAGGAGGTGAAAGAATGAGATCTGTTTTCAAGAGTCTCTAGACATGAGGGGCTTGGCATGGCTGCCAGTCACAGCTGCCTAGTGCCACATAGGCATCAGAGACATCCACATGGGATCAGCAGGTCTGATACATGTATTGGGGAGATCTGTGGCACTAGAGTGAGTAGTGATGTCTATAAACACGCAGCTCCTGGGAAGAAGTTAAAGTGCCTGTGTCCATGTGGCTGTGCAGTTTAATACCTCCCTCTGTCGGCATTACATTTCTTCACTATTGTTTTGTTAATTGTGGTTATTCTCCTGTCACGTCTCCTGTCAGTGCTAGTTGTCAGCATAAGGGTAGAAGGCCAAATGTGAAGTCTTGAAAGAAGAGTAGAGGTAGGGCTTCTCCTTGGCATGTGTGGATGTAACTTGGTTGGTGCTTGAGGAACTACACCTCCGAAATCAGCAGCACAGAATCCTGTGCTGCCACAGCCTTCCCTGTCTCAGCACTGTGGTGTGTGTCATGGGAGTGTTTAATGACGCAGTAAAATCTGATGAAATATGTACTTAGCTACCTGAAGTATTTCCTGACAAACTAATATTATTGTAATATTTCTGGGTCTGCTGTGGTAGTGAATATGAGAAGTCGCCACCTGTGGGCCTTCTCTGCTTAACGGACAGTGTATGTAATTGCCTCAGTTTAATCCTTTATTTCCCTCAGTCCTTCTAAAAGGTTGGTTGTTTATTTCTGATATTGTTGTTTATGGATAAAACCATTTCTCAAGACTAGTTGATATTATCCACAATATTGATCTTGGTTTGACTTTGTATCAGAGAAGGAGAAAACAGATGGGTAAGAATAGTCAGCAAAAGCTCAGATGTAATACTTCTCTAACTCAGTATTTCACATGGCTGTTGTGTGCTGTCACAGCGTGTAGTTGTTCAAGTGCGGAAGCTGAGCTAGAGATGGAAATTCATTTCATTCCTGCTTCTTTTTCCTCCTTTGCCTGTCTCTTAATAAACTCAGAGTTATTACTAGTTGCCCAGATGCTCACCTCGAGAGCTTGTTTTATTTCATGGGCTGTGGTAATAAATCATTTTGGCTCTATATTTGAGGTTTAGAATGTGGACAGCTCCTTCAGATGGATCTGTGGCCTCTCGTCCCGTGACAATATATCACAGCCTGTCACAGGCCATTGACGCAGGTGGTGAATACATGCAGCCAGGAAACCTGATCCTTTGTGTGGTCTAATCGGTGGGCAGGGTGGCTGCTATAAGCTGTGATGAGACATCCCACAAATAAAACACATCTTTGTGAGGTCTGCCTACACTGCCTTCTATTGTAAATATGAACTCCAGATTTCCTGTGAAGTGTTAGTTAGGGCTTTTTAGCTCATTATGTTCAAGGAGAAACAGTACTCAGTTCATCCCCTCAGTACTCAGTTCTTCAGTTCATCCCCTTGCTAAAGGCTTGATGTCTTCTTCCACTGAGCCTCAGCAAAGTGAGGGTATGATTTGGTCCCAATTTCTTCCAGTGGCTGCACAGTCCCTGATGGTACTCCTGCTGCTGTGAGGGCACTTGCCCCTGTGCTGCCTCAGTGCAGGAGGGCAAGGAGCTGCCACCATGGAGAGGAAGACTATTTCTCTGTTCCGCTTGGCTGAGGAAGCACCCCAAAACCAGAGAGGGCCTCTTCATCTGGCACTGTCATCAGAGAAAAGAGTTGGCATGGCACATCCTACAAATATTCACCAGGGTATTTTAAGTGCTTAATGAAATTTCCAACCATGACTTTCAATAAGGGAAAGTTCTAGAGCATGTCAAGGTGGATGGGAGCCAAGTTTCAAGTGGGGCACCTTTGTTCTCACAGAAACAAACTACCAGGTATTATTGGGCTATTAAAGGTTGTTGTGATTTATGTGAATGAAGATGTAACTGGAAATGATGAATGAGAACTTGTCATAGAGTGAAGAAGTCTCTCCTGGGCTCCTGGTTGCCTCAGCATTGCACCACCTACTAAGAAGGAGAAAAAAATCACTGTTACAGCCAAACCCAGGACAAAGGTGAAGGCAAACCCTCCTGATTTTTCCACTTTAAGTGTTTCATAGGTTTTTAATGCCATTTTCTCAGCCTCAGTAGGGTACCTCATGCTGTAGTCTACTTCCTGATGGACTGCAGATGTTAACTGTTCCAGGCTAATCAGTAAGCCAGTCCTGGAGCATGGGAAGAGTAGAGACAAACTTGTCTTCACACAGCTCTCTGCTACTGTACTCATCTGTGAAGACTGGTGAAAAATTTTTCCACTTCCCCCCAGCTCCTTATTCTGAAACTGTTCCCTGAAAGGAAACAAGGGCATTGAAACTCATGGTGTTCTTTAGTTGTCAGGCTGGTGCTGGGCAGTAGATACAGCAAACCAGATCAGCCCCACATTTTGAGCTTTGAGGACACAGGACCCAAAGCAGATGTTATTGATGGAAGAGCTCATCCTCCATCTGTCTGGACACTTCATCTCTTCAATATTGCTGGCAGAACTGCTTGAACAAGTCCTAGTTTGACAGCCAACAGAAGCTGGTGAGCAAATCCCCTTTATTTAGGCTGAAAAGTCACAGGTGGTTTTGACTGAAGCAGTCTTGGTGGTTCCTCCTGGAGACCTCAGCCAGTAGATTGGAAACAATCAGTGTCACAGGACTGGGGCTGTGTTGAGTACCAGCTGTAACTGCTGAGTGCCTGTTCCCTGATTCTCATTGGGCTGTGTTTCCTTAATCTCAGACTCTTTTCAGGGCTTCCCATCCCAAGAGCTGCTACAGTAAAATGAGTTTTCAGTTTTCCCGAGGATGTTAAGGAACATGTGCATTTATTTTTATTAAGGTGACAGTGAGTTAAACAGGAGCTTTGTAATTACACTAATATGTTTTAAGAGGTTTGAGAATGTTAATTTGGGAATTTGTAGGTGATAAGGAACATGACAATTCTTTTCATTTCTCAGAAAGTGCAGTGCAGAAGACAAATGCCAAGGGAACTTGAGACACAAGTTAATACATATCCTTCCTAGTGCAGAAATTATTTTGCTTTGGACTGTTTCAAAATGGTATTTCACAGGAAGATTGTAGGCATAGTGCAGACTAATATCAAGCTCAGCCACTCACAACAAGGCTTAAATCATAAGCACTGCTCTTCAGAACAGTGATCTGGAACAGTGGAATCGGATTTAGTCTGAAGCCAGCAAAGCAGGGTCTGTGCTACTCTTCCCTTAACACTGATTTGGGAAGACCAAGCATGGGATGAGTCTGAACCCTACCTTGATTTGGAAAGGTCTGGCTCAGTGCAGTGCTTTGTGATCCCTGCCCCAAACTTCTATGCTACTTTGCAAATAATGGACTATATTAGATTGGCTGTGGCTGCTCTGTTGATTTTAGTGTCCCAGCCTTACCTGGGAATTGCAAGATGATGTGGGGTGAAGGGTTTTGCCTGAGCAGCCAGACCTATCTGCTCCTGAGATTTCATGGGGTTGCTGTGTGGAACTAGGACATTGCTGCCACCCAAAGTGGTTCTGTTGCTCTCATCTTGAATCTGTGCTTCCGCCACTTCATTTGCTGTAGCACTCATTTGACTACT